GGTGTCGCAAATAGCTCAGTGGTTAGAGCGTCTGTCTTGTAACCCGAAGGTCCCCGGTTCGATTCCAGGTATCCGGTATGCTTTCCGACGGATTCAACCCCGTCACGCGCACCTGGAAAGAAGGAATGTCCGGATGAGGGGCCTCGCGTTCCGGTTAAAAAAAAAACAACTGTTCGCGACATTTCAGAAAAATCAACCCCCTCCCCCCCGAGTGAGCCTTACCAGCCGGACAAAGCGAGAAGGCAATATTAAGTTAGTAGTATATCCGGTTAAAGCCACTAATACACCTCCCTTGACAATGAGCAATCTAACCAATATAATGAATCAATGAAGTGCCTGATCCATACGATTTCAATTCTATACCGTCTAGTACGCATACCTTGAAGTAATAATATATGCGTCTCCAGAATTTAATGGAGTATGATTTGATTTGGGAATTGTATCCACCTGTCAAATGTAACATAATCTAGTTACCCTAGCCCTGGTCCCCCCGACACCCTCGACCACTGTTAGTTGTATGATTCATTCAAGCACTGTTGGCCGCATCGTGAAGGACAATAGAAAGGCGATAAATGTCAACATCGACAATAAAGCCAAGAAGTTCCGATTTAATCTAAAGCCCCCGAAGTTTCCCGAGCTTGACACCCAATTGATCGCCTGGGTAGAAGCTGTGAACGCAAACAATGTCTGTATAACTGGCCCTCTGCTCAAGCGAAAGGCCCTGTCCCTCGCCGTCGTACTTGGCATAAGCCAGTTTCGCGCGTCACAAGGTTGGCTTTACAAATTCCAAAGGCGTCACAATTCATGGGTTCATCGACTGCATGGAGAAAGCGCATCAACCGACCTCTCTATTGCGACGACTGGGCGAGAGAAGCTGTTCCTAGAAGCTCAATTCTACGACCATTGCGACGTATACAACATGGTTGAAACGGGCATCAATTACAAAGCCCAACCAAAAACGTCAATGTCCTGTAAGCCCTTGAATGGGCTTAAACATGATAAGACCAGGATCACAGTTGCTCTCACAGCGAATGCTGATGGATCCCACAAGCTGCCACCCTTCTTTATTGGAAAGTCTAAAAAGCCATGATGCTTTGGTAGTCTGACTGCACAAGAGCTACGTCTGTACTACCGCAGCAACCGAAAGGCGTGGATGACGAGTGCCCTGTTTTCGGAATGGATCATGGAGCTGAACGAAGAAATGAACCGAAGAAACCGATCAATTCTATTACTCTTGGACAATGCATCCTCCCACCAAGTTGTTCGGGCCGACGTCAGTAATATTCGCGTCCTCATGCTCCCTCCCAACACCACCTCGAAGCTTCAGCCCATTGGACGCTGGAATCATCTCGACTTTCAAGATGTACTACAAGAAACGTCAATTGGACCATGCGATCCAAATTGTAGACAACATTACCGGCGGTGGGTCTGTGACTGACATGCAGCACAAGAACCCGTATGCTTGTGACGTTCTGCAAGTCATGCGCTGGGCAACGGAGGCGTGGGACGAGGTTTCATCAACAACAATTAGAAATTGTTGGGCTCATACAGGTGTATTACCTCAAACATCGTTGATGGCAGCTCTTGAGAGCCTTCGGGTTGGCTCGTCCATGGCTGTGAGCTTCTTGCTCGATTGACTTGACCTTTCAAATTCAATGTTTGTTGATTTCTGTGGAATTCAATACCTCTCATTCTTGATGGAGGGACCATCGTGCAAAAATGGGGGCATCACTGTACTGTACTCCGACGAAGTAGGTGTAATCCGAGCATTTCCCAATCATACAATTGCATGGAAATTAGTCTTGCTGAAGTGCGTATTGTTAGGGAATTTTGCTTCGGTTTGGAGGATCACTTGAGAAATGTTCAGTTTGTCATCCGACAATGACATTGATGAAAGCCCCGATATAGCTCAACGCATACAAAACGAGCCTTGTGGGATACCAGGTACCCCCATTGCGTTCGATCCACGCACTTCTCATCGCCCGCTTTGCA